AACCCAAAGGATAAGGAATTCATAATTAAAATAGTACAAGAATATATTGATTTACAAGACCAAAGTGAAGAAGGATTTTCAATAACATACATACAAGAAAGACTCAAGAAACAATTTGAAACATTCAACAATCAAGTAAAGAAAGAAATAAAAAGAGCTGCCAACCTCCACAAGAAAGAAAAAAGAGAAGAACTCACAATATATAACTGTTTTGACTACTACCCATATATATTCCTATATGATAAAATCATAATAACTATAAACAACTACTTAACAAGGATTGAATCGAAAGAATTAACCAAAGAAGAAATAATAGATTATCAAAAGAAATATTTGAGAGTAATCTGGTACACTTTAAATTATATAAAACCAGAATCAAAATTACTACAGTATGACTAGGATATATATAGAAAATACCCTCACCTGAAGAATTGATAAACAGAACATACAGCGACATGGCAGAATATAAAATTGCAAAAGCAAGATATTCGAACGAGTAAATGTCATGACAACCCATAAGAAGAAATCAAGAACCACGATTATTAGAAATAGAAAAAGCGTATTTAAATAGAGCATTATTAGCACTAGAAGGAGCACGAAATATCCAAGAAAACAATCAAATAACACCCATAATATTCCCAAATACAAGACTCACTCAGGCAACCCAGAACTACCTGTTACAACACCACCAACAACTGGTATTAGAAACTGCTACTGCCAGAAGAAACCCAAGAACCGGAAATCTAGAAAGAGTCAGAATACCAATAATTGTAGAAGCAATCAGAATAATACTCCAAATGGCATTTGGACAATACACTGTATATTATACCTATGATCAGATTAATAATAAAAGACTGGGACTACCAACTGATATTTTTAATGACCGTTAGGAAAACAAGGGTGTATTATACAAAGAAAATAATAACATTACTGAAAGAATATAGACTAGAAATTGTAAAAGAAATACCAATACTTGAAACACCAAAATTAAAGGAATATTACAGGACAGCCCTGATATCAATATCAGTAAACCAAGAAATCCTTGAAGAAAGAATAAAAGAAATCTTAACCCAGATAATAGAAGGAGAAATAGTTAATAAAATAACCGAAACCCTTTCATACATTAACAATACAAAGTGGACCAACTTATAGAAACAATACTACTGACAAACATCACCATATTGTGGATGAACCACCTCACACTATCAATACTTACCTACAATCGAACAACAATATATTTCATAATTCTATTAGAACACACTATATTATTGATATCTATTTGTTATATAATAAAATTAATAAAAGAAGGAATCATTGAAGCCTATACTATTAAACTAGCTAAAGAACAATTTAATGAGCGAAGAACAAAATAGAACACTAGAAGAATTAAGAAGATTCAGATTCAATTGGAAACCAATTTGTAGACCAGCAAGAGATAAAAACGAAAAGAGATATCCACAAAATAAAGATATTTTAGAATCAAGAACACTTCAACAAATAACTGGAGATATCTGGAATACAATAAACAACCTTATTAATCAGATTAATCCAACAAATAATCCAAGATTAGGAGCAATCCTATTAACACTTGAAGGTGCAAGAAGCATAGCAAGAGAATTCTATCCCTTTGTGTTAGAACACGATAAACAAAGACCTAGAAGAATACCACCACATATTTCAACAAGAACACAGACCCTATTTCCAGAACTACATCAGCAAATTTATATGTGCGAAATATTTTGAAAGAAATTGCGATATGCAATATCTTTCGAAATATTTCGAAAATAATTTCGAAATATTTCGATTTCGAAATATTTCGAAAAAAAATTCAAAATATTTCGAAATAATAAATTTCGAAATATTTCAAAAAATATTTCGAAATAATAAATTTCGAAATATTTCAAAAAATATTTCGAAATAATAAATTTCGAAATATTTCGAAAAATATTTCGAAATATTTCGAATTTTTTTTCGAAATATTTCGAAAAATATTTCGAAATATTTTGAATTTTTTTTCGAAATATTTCGAAATCGAAATATTTCGAAAACATTTCGAAATATTTCGAAATATAAATTTCGAAATATTGCGAAAATATTAAGTAATATTCGAAAACACAAAATAATATTAAATAATTTCTAAATAATGTACTGTAGACCTACCAAAAAGTGATCCTATCAATACTTTCCATATTTAATTTCCGATAACCTGCCATCTTCTGAAACAAATGATCATGTTCCGGGTACATTTGAACCAACCCAGGATCAAAGATCCAATTCCGGGTCATTTGAATCAACCCGTGTTCAAATGATACCATTTCTGGTTTATTTGAGCCCTCAACCCGTTCAAATAATATCATTTTGAGTTCCAACTTGGGATTAAAATGATCCAATCCGCGATCAAACGATCCAATTTGTGGTTCAAATGCACCTATTTCTTCAGGTTATTTGAACTCAACCCGGTTTCACATGATCACATTCCCAGTGCATTTGAAATCATCGTGGCTTTGAATGATGACTTTTGAATAATATTACCAAAATTTGCTAAATATAAATATATTTCAAATATTTCGAAATATTTCGAAAAACATTTAAATAAAATTCAATTAGACAAATGAGACAAAAAGCGTAAAAATTTTAATAATAAAACTTTATTTAATTAATAATCCCCTTAATTTTCAATTATTACATTAGCATATGTATTGTATTGACTCGATTACATATAAATATAAATTAAAAATCAGGAATGCATTTACTAAAAAGAATAATGTACAATATGCATTTACTATAAATGGTCATTTTGTTTTCAAAGCGGATTAGTTTTTATTAAAATATTCGCTAATCTCTAAATATAGTATAAAAATATTTAATTTAAAAATAGAGCTAAAATTTTTAAAGCAATTGTCGTGAGCGGTTTTATTAATCAAACCAATTTCAAAAGTATTAAAAATCTAAATATAAATGTAATTCAAATAAATTAAAAATAATTTTTTAATAACGATAAAATTATCAAATATTTCGAATATATTCGAATTAATTAAAATATATCTGAAAATAATTAATTAATATATGTATATATTTTGACTGATTACACGGATTCAAATGATCGCATTCCCGGTTTATTTGAAAACGACGCGAGTTGAAAAGATAAATTTTGAATAATGTTAACAAAATTTCCAAATTTAATATATTTCAATATTAGCGCAAAATTTCGAAATATTTTGAAATCATTTAAAAATAAAATTCAATTAGATGAATAATGAATGAGACGAAAAGTAATAATAAACCCTTTTTTATTTATATTTAATAATTTCCTTAATTTCAATTATTACATTAGCATGTGTATTGTTAATTGAAAAAACTAGATTACATAAAAATATAAATAAAAAATCAGGAATGCATTTATTAAACAAAAGAACAATGTACAATATGCGTTTACTATAAATGATCATTTGTTTTCAAAGTGGATTAATTTTTATTAAAATATTCTCTAATTTCTAAATATGTATAAATAATATTAAATTTAAAAATGGAGCTAAAACTTCTAAAGCAATCGTCGTGAGCAGTTTTATCAATCGAAAACAATTTCAAAGTATTTAAAATCTAAATATAAATGTAATTCAAGTAAATTTAAAATAATTTAATTTTTTAATAACGATAAAATTATCAAATATTTCGAATATATTCGAATTAATTAAAATATATCTGAAAGTAATTAATTAATATATGTACATATTTTGACTGATTACACGAATTCAAATGATCACATTCCCGGTTTATTTGAAATCATCGCGGGTTAAAATAATAAATTTTGAATAATGTTAACAAAATTTGCAAATTTAATATATTTCAGTATTTGCGCAATGTTTCGAATTACTTCGAAACCATTTAAAATAAAATTCAATTAGACGAGACGAAAGTATAAAAATTAAATAAAACCTTTTTATTAACATCTAATAATCCCCTTAAATACATTAGCATGTGTATTGTTAATTGAAAAAACTCGATTACATAAAAATATAAATTAAAAATCAGGAATGCATTTACTAAACAAAAGAATAGTGCACAATATGCATTTACTATAAATGGTTTGTTTGTTTTCAAAGCGGATTAATTTTTAATTTAAAAATGGAGCTAAAACCTTTAAGCAATTGTCGTGAACGGTTTTATTATCAAGAACTATTTCAAAAGTATTTAAAATCTAAAAATAAATTTAATTCTAGTAAATTTAAAATAATTTATTTTTTATTAAAATATATTCGAATAAATTAAAATATATTTGAAAATATTAATTGTATATTTTTTTATTGATTACTTTAGACGAATGTTTTAAATAGTAAAAAAAAAATTTTTAATGAATATGCGAAAGTAATTTGATTACATTAGAAATTTTTGATATTAATCGAAAATATTTAAATACAGGCGATATTTTGTATTCCCTCTCTTCGTTGTCATTTCTATCCATTTCATAAATATCATCTAAAATATTCCATACTTCACTTATTTCGTGCATTTATTTTTACCTTTAAAACTTTTCAAACATTTCGCATATTTTCGAATTAAACTTCCTATTTTTTAAAAAATTTGAACTAACCCGAACCTCTTTCTATCTCTCTCTTTATCTTTCTCTCTTTTCTTTATTTTTCTCTTTCTCTCTATCTCTCTCTCTCGCTCTATCTTTCTCATCACCACATAGAATTTTCTCAATTCCTATTATCTAAAAACCATTTACAATTATTCGCTTTATTCACATTAATTTTTTCTTTAATATAGTTAATTTTTATTTTTATCATTTATTTTATTTCTAATTTGTATTTTTATTTTTTTATTTTCTTATTTTTTATTATTATTATTTTCTATTATATTTATTTATTTTATACACTACTTTCACTTATTTCATAATTTCGAAAAATGCCGAAAATTGCCAAAAAACTTGCAAGAAATCCAAGTGTTTTCGCACGAATGCTTGCAGGAAATGAAAAAAAAATAAAGAGGTATCAACTGAGCATTCTGTTACCTCTGAAGGTGTTACCTCAGGTGGACTATCGTCACCAGTTACTCAAATTACTTCAAGACATCCTGAAGGTATTAAATATTCTATGCTTTTTAATTTTTTTTTTTACTTAATCATAAAATTATGATTAACTTTTTTTTTAATTTTTAAGATATTTCAGGAACTTTAAATAAAATTTTAAATAAATTTGATGATCTATCTGAAAAAATTAATCAGATGGATCGAAGATTGGCGGAAGTTGAAGAAAGAATGTCAGAAAGCTTTGACCTAGCTCATGAAAACAGTTTTATTCAGGTAAATTTTTAATTATTTTTTTTAATTATTTAAGAATACTTATCTTTTATCTTTTTGAAATAGCAAACGGTTAAAGCTACGGCGAAAATATTAATTGAAACTGCAATATACCCTTCTGAAGAAGAATATAAGGAAGCTGCAGAAGAATATTCTGTCGGAGAATCAGAGCGAGTATTATGAAAGCCTTTCAGACAAAAGATGGGCCACTTATTATAAGCAGAACATTGCCGGACCTGTAAGTTTTTTAATTTTTTGTTAAGTTAAATTTCTAAATATTTTTAAACGTTTTGAATTATTTCGAAACGTTTCGAATTATTTCGAATATGTT